GAGAACAGAGGACTCTATGGAAGTCAATAAAAAATAGGCGAGATAGGTTGGTAGGACACCTTCTCAGGCATGAAGGTCTAGTCAGAGACATATTAGAGGCAGAAGCAGGAGTTAGGAGGGGTAGAGGTAGACCTACATTAGATTACTGTTCACAAATAGTTAAGGATGTGGGATGTTCTAGTTTTAGGGAAATGCGAAGATTTGCTCAGGATAGGAAAGAGTGGAGGTGCGTGTCCAAACAGTCTTAGGATTAACGACCTTATGATAATGATGATAAAAAAATTAGATGTAATTATATCGTAAATTACACATAATACAGAAATTGCACAACACTTACCAAATTGGGTTTCGAGTGATTTTCTTCCAAATTCTGTCTTAAAAAACTATCGGCTACATCGAACTCTTCTCTCATTATGGGATAAGTTACCTGGTTCATCTTTCTCCACACTATTTTCCTTCTCTAATATATCTCTTAACTCATAACCTGCGTATAGTTTCCCTGAATATTCTTTCCGCCTATCTGCCTTTTACTCAATTTCTATCAAAATGACCCGTACCTCGTTTCTTACATTATTACTACTATACCCTAATTTTCTAAAAAAAGCCTAATTTCGTATTGTTATTTATAAACATCNAACATACACCTTTAACAACCTTTTTGAATTTCCAAGTTAACCGTTCGAGAGCATAGAAGTGACTTCTTTTTATTAAAGGCGACACGATCCTGCGCTATCCTCTGCTTTATATCCCTACTACTCCTTCTGCCCTGGCTTATCTGACCTCCTAGATACCTAAATTCGGCCACTTCTTCTAAGTTTTCGTCTCCTATCTTATATTCGCTCTTTCCCTATATTGAATACCGTATATTTTTAAAATTTTCTGATACCTGTTGATATCTATCTCATAGAAGTTTTCTTAAAGTTTGCATTTTTCGTTTGATTTATGGAAATCGCTAAAGAAATAAAACTAACTCAATGCCCTAGCTCCCAAGCAGTATCAATGGTGTGGAAACAGAGATAAGTAGTTATTACGTAATTATCACTTAAAAAGCGACTTCTGAAGTACGTAGAACCAAATTGTTACTGTACAAAATTACGTTAAAGTGATGTTTTTAAAGTGATATTCAATGGTCGCAATTACTTTGTTGTGTAACTTCCTTATCACTTTATAGTTTTATTACTTTATAGTAGCGGTAAAAGTAACTTCAACATCTTTACGACATTTGAAATTCCTTCAAAATTACGGACACTATTTTCTATCTCGAACTAATTTTCGCATTTCCCTAAACCTAGAACATCTCACAACCTTTTCTTTTCCGCCTCGCCCACCGTCGTCGTTTTGGCACCCGTACTAAAAAAAAACTTGGGTGTTTCATCCCCACCAGCCAGTAATGCTGGTGGGCGGGCAGTCCCTCCGGACTACACCGGAAGGTAGGGCGGAAGGCCCTTGTCACTCTGCTTTAAGGAATCGTGGGAATGGATGGGTGGTGGTTCGGGTGAGAAAGATGAGATGGACGAAATGAAGACAGAAGAGAATGAAAGATTATCTGTGGAATATTACTGCCCCAGAGCATGTGCTTAAGTGATCCAAGAAAACCACATAAAAACTTGGAGCAAGGCAGACGGACCCGGAATCGAACCGGCGTCCTCCCGAATGCTAAGCAATGGTCTAAACCTCTAGGCCATGCCGCTCGGTGCACCCGTACAGCAGCGTACTCCAGACATAACTTTATTAAAAATCTTTTTCGAATTTTTAAATTAACCGTTCGTGAACATAGAAGTGACATATTTTTGTTAAAGGCGACTCTATCCTGCACAATCGTTTGTTTTGTATCCCTACTGCTCGTCCTACCCTGAATTATCTTCTGACTTCCTAGATACCGAAAATCAGCGACCTCTTCTAATTTTTCGTCTTCTATCCTTACATTCACTCTTTCCCTTCTGATGACAGTTGAGAACAAAACTTTATTTATTTAAAACAGTTAAGGTAGATAATAGCTAAATTACATATCACTATCACTACTACTTTTTATGAGAAATAATGACTTATTTACGAAATGATTTTAAGCAACACGGCATTAATTCTTATCCAATTAAGTACCTTAAATACATTGTGCATTAATATGGATCAACATGGCCCTTTACAGCATGTAAATTAAATGAATATTTTCGAAGATTACAGATTTAAAATGCAAACAGCGGTTGCGGCGGTACCGATCGGGAGGCCGGTTTGTATTGTCTAATGACAAAAACACTGTGAATGTTGTATATAAAGACATTCTGTAGTATATTTCATGTGTTCAGGGGTTGTCTATTTAAGATTTCCCCTCTCGATAATAATCTAAACAAAACAAAAATATATTTAGTATCAGCATTACACCCGTGCGAAGCTGGGGCGGGTCGCTAGTTTATAATATTACGAATTACGAATAAAATATAGGTATATAGGTATAACTAATGAGTACAGAAAGTTTTCTTTTACTAAAGAAACTTTCGATATTACAGACGCTGATAATTGGCCCTAATCCTGCCGAGTCCTTCTATTATTTGAGGATCGATATTTTAAGAGTAACGTACCAGTATCTGTGTAAATCGGTCTATTTCTACCTTCTTGTTAGTTTCATTAGATAAATGGAATACCTTTTGATTAAAGTTTCACGTTCGTGGTATATGTATATTACTTGAAATACGTTACCTTTAGACTGGGGAGAAGAGATGAAAAATGAATAGATTTTAAATTTAAGATATTGAAATCAGTGGCGTACAATGGAGGGGTAGAGCAGAGGGTGTTATGGCCCCAGGCGGCGCAAAAATGTTTTCTTCGTTATTACATGGAGCGCAGTAATAATTTGTAGCACGTACCAAGACATTGTCGTCATGGTGTGGAAAAACCAATTTTTAAATCTTACGAAAATTGTCGAAATAAGATACACTATGCCCCTGAACGATTAATTTAGAAATTCGAAAAAGGTTGTTAAAGGTATATGTTTGGAGCGCGGCGTTGTACTGGTGCGAAACCTAGACAGTGGGTGCGGTGGAAAAGAAAAGGTTAGAAGCGTTCGAAATGTGGTGTTACAGGCGAATGATGAAGATACCGTGGATAGAGAAGGTTAGAAATGAAGAGGTATTAGAAAGAGTATGAGAACAGAGGACTCTATGAGAGTCAATAAGAAATAGGCGAGATAGGTTGGTAGGACACCTTCTCATGCATGAAGGTCTAGTCAGAGACATATTAGAGGCAGAAACAGGAGTTAGGACGGGTAGAGGTAGACCAAAATTAGATTACTGTTCGCAAATAGTTCACATCCTTAACTTGTTGTTCAAGTTGTAGGGAAATTCGAAGATTAGCTCAGGATAAGAAAGAGTGGAGGTGCGTGTCCAACCAGTCTTAGGACTGACGACCTTATGGTGATGAAAATACATTGTTTTTCATGTATTACGACCTTGGTTATAGCGACAATTTTCTATAGCGACGTTAAATGTATGTCCCTTGAATACTTTAGTACTAAGTTTATGTGGCTATAGAGACTTCGGATGTAACGCCGAGTTCGGTAGCAGCGACTGTTTTTAATTAATCATTTGTAACAAATCCCTGGTAATTGAAGCAATCCGCCAGAAACGTCCGGATTTGCGGAAGAACAAAAGTTGGCTTTTGCACCATGATAATGTCTCTGTTCACACATCGTTGCTTGTACGTGAATTTTTGGTCAAAAACAACACACTAATAATGCCGCAGTCACCGTATTCTCCAGATCTGGCTTCCTGTGACTTTCTTGTTCTCGAAACTGAAGAGGCTCATAAAAGAACGAGGCTATGATTGAGGAGATAAAGATGGCTTCGAAGGAGGAGCTGAACAAGATCACAAAAAATGATTTTCTAAAGTGCTTCGAGGATTGAAAAAAACATTAGCACAAGTTTATTATATAAAACATACAAAATTCGCGATACTTTTTGAACAGGCCTCGTAGACATTTAATAAATCTGAAAACGACAAAAAAACAGTCGTTAAATTGATGTTTTTCGCTTTCATTTTTGATAACTTCTGAAGTAATAGTAGGAATAAAACCCTAAGTTTAATGATAGAGTGCTGGTGGTAGTGGTAGAGTACTGGCACGTAAAACCTTGGGCCCGGGTTCATTTCCCAACGGAGGGACTGATAACAGCAACAAGTTTTCCTTGTTAATTTGAGGTTATCTATGGTGGTTTTAGTTAATTCAAAAAATTAACTCACTGATGGTAGGACCTCCATTGTTTTCGATGCAGAAAGGCATGACAATAATTACCTACAAAATTCTGTACTATTCTACTAGTAACTGTCTCCTTTCAACTGCTGACTATCTCTACCATTAACTAAGGTATCTATCTTTTTAAGACCAGGTCTTATGGGATGTGCGGTGAAGATAATTGAATTGGTCCAGCAAAAAAGTATTATTTTCTTACCGTACATGTATCCTTTCCGGGTTCTCCTCCCGCGCAAATGAAAGATGAGTGTAGGGCGAATGCAAGTCCAAGACGTGTCTTGCGAAGAGAATCCTGACATATGTTATGTGGAACAATTGGCAGCTGTATCTTCTTCAAAATGACTTGCGGCTGTCCTTTTCTGCCTTTAATTAATACTTCATTTAGTGTATTGATTCTTAATTGATGTTTTAATTTAATTAATTATAAAGAGAATTGTCCCCGCCGGGCATACAACAAAGGGATTTCAGTAAAACCTTGTAAATAAAAATTTGTTTAGTTGTAAAAAATGCAAAAAAAAGATAGGAGTTAACCCAACATTATTCAAATTTTCCATCAGGCGAAGCTGCTAGCCATGAACCAGGCCACATCACGAAACTTGTACAATTCTTTTTGAATAATCGATTTTTAAACTTTTCTTTCTATAGGGTTGTTCGGAAAGTCATTTCGTTTCTTCCCAACAGAGGATTTAATTGTATTCTTTTGCACCCAACTTCACATTTAAGCCGTATAATTTTTATATGCTTTGAGAGCTCATATAGCAAGGCTTGTGTGTGAAAAATTCCA